CTCCACTCCTTGACAGGTGCCCTGCCCCCTGCTTGCCATCTTGGGGTTGTTCGTGCCTGTATTTATGGGATGAAGTTCACCCCTGTGGAGACTTAAGCAATGCATAAGCTTTTTGCTGGCCTGCTCTACAGTATTTTGCCCCTGACTAATTTGGCCTGTAGTCTCACCCTAAGAGTCTGAATATTCCTAGGGCCTGTCTGTAGTCTGAGGGTGTGTTCATAGGATGTGCAAAGGGAGGGAAAGTTAAAGGCACTTTTCTGTTGCTCTGATTTATTCTTCAGACAAATTAATTTGTTTCTTAGATGTGTTTATATAAATGTCACTCTTTGGATGGGTTAAAGTCCTTTGTGTACATGACTTTATATTGTTGCAGATTGGTAAATCATTATGTCTGGGTAAGTTTAACCAATTGTTAGGGTGCTTAGAAATTCTTGCGAGACCATTTTTGTACTGTTTAAATCTGAATAAATAAATGAGTTGGATGTTCCAGATGATGTTAGCATAATTCCATCACTGTTGATTGATCAAGATGCTGTTCAGAGGCTCAGTCTTATGGGCAGTTTGCCTTTAGAGGTTGCAGGTTTCAGCTCCTTATCAGAGACACATTTGATTTACAAGAAAGCAGTACAAACAAAAGGGGGGGCAGTGCTGCTGTAAAGATCAGGGCTCAAAGCCTTTATATTAGACAAATGTCTAAGAAGCAGTTGGGCAAGAAATGGGAAGGGCTGTTGGTCAAACACTCTTTGTTTTGTCACAATGTGTTTATGAAGATTATGGCTCTGTCCTGTGCACATAATAGCTCACTACTGAAATCCCCAATAGAATGGGAGACCACACACCTGTAAGGAGTATATTAAACAACAGCTAAGCACATGCGTAAGTGCTTAACTGAGTCAGGGCCTTAGGCCTTTGAGCTGAATTGGTGCACTTGGCAGTGACTCATTATTTGTTTCACATTTCTTTCTGGGAAGGTGATACTTTCACGTACGAAGACATCACCCAAAATGCTTTACAGTATGTCCATGATGGCTCATCTGCAGCAGAGGACAGCATGGAAATCTCTGTGACTGATGGTGTTACCACTGCAACTACTGTGCTGGGAGTGGAAGTATCATTGATGGACAGCAACAGTCCCCAGTTAGCTCCAGGCTGCTTGTTGACTGTCACAGTGGCTAGTAAAAGCTCTGTGACACTTTCTCGGTCACACCTAGCTTACATTGTAAGTTTGTATCTATTCCTTCCTTGTCCAAATGAATTCTTAGTATTTAGTGTTCTCCCCTCTTGATTGGCTCTCAGCAACGTGCACTCCTGCACTTTCAGAATGTTGATTCTTGGCAACCACTTTCACTTTTTCTGTGTTTTGACCACAGATGCCAAAAAAGAAATAATGAGCTCTTTCATCTTAGTAGGCTCTTTCATCTTAGTAGGTTTTTGAGGCTATCTGCCTGAAATAAAGGTGAACTACAGAGCCAAAATAAAAATTGAGTTAATCCCAGATTTATGCACAAAACATCCCTGCTAACTAAACATGTGGGTTTGCTCAGCAATAATCCTTTTAAAACTTTTTGACGGACTCTTTCTGGCTCGATATGTCTTTTTCCCCTCAAACCAGAATGCAGCATTCTGTGATATCATGTGAAAATACTATGGTTTGCTGACTATGGCCAGCTGAGATTTCCCTCACAGGAGGTGTCATGTGAAATACCAGATTTCTTAGTAGCAGTGCATTTAATAGCAAATTCTTTCCTGGACTGAGGAGGAGACAGAATATGAACAACATGCAACACCCATTAGACATGTCACTCAGTGCTCTGCTAGAATGCAGTCATATATTGAAGTGATGAGGTAGTTTAAGAAAACAGATGAAAATTATTTTTACTGGTTTTAATTTACATGAATGTACACACCCAATGACTTCAAGTCTGCTTAGATCTGAAACTTAGTGCATAAACTTAGGATGAACTCAATTTTCATTTTGGATGTGTAGTCCCAGCTTTCACATCCCTGTTTTGTTAGTGGTAAGATCACAGCTTCTGGTATCCCATGAGGGTAACATTCACCCATATGCAGAATGCTTGTTCCAATGCCTTTGTGTCATGGCATCCCCACTGAAGCAGGTATGTGGTGCACAGGCATCATGTTCTGCACAGGAGTGTGCTTCACCTGTGACATTTTGTAAGCTATTTTCTAAGTGCCAAAAGTTAGAGAGCCAGTATTGTAGTAACTGACACTGGATAAGAGGCTCCTGTGCTTAACTTAATTTTCCTTATATGGGTATGGCTCTTTACAAGAAGAGCTTATTTCCCTTTCAGTCTGGGGATAACCTGTACTGGCATAATCACTTTTATGGCAGTATTACTGCATCCACACTTAGGGGTTAATTACACTTCTATGTAATTACCTTTCTACTGTAGGCAGAGCTCATGCCTAATATTTAGGTGCATTTATAAACTCTACCCAGCAATCTTCTTATGGTCCATCAGTGTTTTAATAGACTAAGTTCAGGGCTTTATTTAAATTGTAAAATTAGCTTTAGATAGAAACATAGAGCTGTCAGAGTTATAAAGGTGTCAGAGCTGGAGAGCAGTGTTTCTGCACCACTTTCTAAAAAGTTGTTGTCTTGGACACTCTTGGGTTTGCAGCATGGGTCCCAGGCTGGCTGAGGCAGGAATTGTATGTGGTGCAAGCTGACCAATGCTTGCAGCACGGCTGCTGCTCCAGCTGGACTGTACTACATGCAGCACTCGTTCCAGCCACTCTGGATCTGCACTGCACCAGTGCAGGTCCCAGATATACTGGGGGAGGGAGAAAGGGAAAGCTTTATGCCTCATCCAGCCCATGGGGCTAGAGGAATTTGACACCCCTGCCCTAACTTATTAGGGTCTTATTGAGCCGATGTTATGTCTTGCAGAAATTATGACTCTGTGTAAGTAAATGAATTAGCTGTATTGAATTATTAGACCACTGAAATTTGAATGGTGCTCATCTAACATTAAAATGGTCCCTGGGGAGTCTTTTTTGCCTATTAACAGCTAAAAGAGCTCTACTTTTAAAGTACTAACCAGTTAGATACTTAGAGGTTTGGATAAACTCCTGGATTTCATAGCTATTGTACCTCATAGTCCACAAAGGCAGCCAGTGTCAAGATCACTCCTGTGCCCATACTGCTTCATTTCTAGACTCCCATTTTGACTTGCATTGCAAGCAACTGAGGTACATAAGTCCCATTTTTACAAGTCATTTAGGGCCATATTATGTAAGTAGTTAGGCCCCTAAAGATAGATTCTTCAGTAGGCTAGGTACCTCACTTGCATTGGTTCAGGCCAGTGGTCATTAACATTTATGGACTCTCAAGGCACCCTTTACTGGACTCAAGGTACCCCTCCACAACATTTGTGAATTGAGTGGCACCCAATTTTAAAAACAAATTTATATATTACAGTGCTTACCTCGTTACACAGGGACTGGGTAATAGGAGTGGGGAGTTGTCCATGTAAGGACAAGCCTGAGCCTGGCTTATCTGCTTATCTCCTCACATCTCATGCTACCCTTCAAAGGATGTGGGGGCACCCTAGTTGAGAATTGCTGGCTTAGGCATTTATGTAAATCCCACTTAAGTACCTCCCTTCATTTTTAGTTGCCTAAAAATCTGTGTAAGCATTGCTGGCAGGAGCATACATTTAATGAAAAGTTCATAGAATTTCAGCTACTAAGAGTGACTTTTACAAATGGAAGCTTGGTGCTTTTGAAGAAGTTCCCTCATGTCTGTACAATTCTTTAGCGTAAAATGGGATCCATAGTTTTACTAGAGATAGGAAGGATAGAAGACAGCAGTTGTAACTGCATTTTATAGGATGGTTTGGGTAGGAAATGATCCTGCCTCAGGCAGGAGGTTGGAGTAGATGATCTCTGAAGGTCTCTTCCAGCCCTACTTCTTTATGATTCTGTGATAACTGTTGGGCTGTTCTTCATCTCACAGTGTTAGGCAGAAGGAGGCAAAACTGTCCTAAGGTGGTTTTGTTTGAGAGAAACCTACAGTGGAAGCCCTCAGGGATGTGTTTGTCAGGAAGGCAGTAGCATGAGATTGGAAAAAAGAAAGAGGTTGTAGTGGAGAGAGTGGAATTATTGGGGGGGCTGTGGAGGACCCATCCATGGGAGTCCCCTTTCATGTATTAGATAACATGGTGAAAGTTGGTAGCTTTACAATATTATTTTCAGGTTCTGGCAAGCCCAGAAACGTGGGTCTTTGCTCCCTTGATTTACAAGACAATTAACCCACTTCTTCAGCTGAGGATTTCACTCACTGCCCCCTTTTTTCCTTGGGTTGAGTGAATACTTTTTGCATTCCTAGAAATGGTAGCCTTTATAGCTTTTTATTTCACAGCATGACAGTGGTGTGCCAAAACCTGCACATTCACCAATATTGATTCAAACTCCCCAAATGGTGTGACTGGTATAAAAATCACAGCATTTAAGAAGGCATGTTTTCCTTGCCTTCTGGTTTCTGAATGCACTTGGATCATGATTTCAGGCTTTTCTCTAACATCATGAGGGCTAGAAATATTTTTTTAAATGAAAGCTGAAATGCTCAAATGACTACAGGAGCCTCAGCTGTAAGAGGAATATGGTGGGAAATGCTGACACTGGTTTTGTGTCACATACAGTACATAACTGCAAAATCTGATTCATCTCAGGCCCCTGGGAATGAGGTTCCAGTATGGTAGTGGATTTTACTTCTGTTATATGAATAGATTGCTACACATTGCATTGAGAAATTTATATTCGGGTAATTTTTAGGCATTTCATTGATTATACTATTAGAAAATCATTTTTGAAAAGGCCCAGAATGCAGGAGGGAATGGAGCATAGACACCATTGTAATGCATTACAAAAAATAACAGATGCCATTGGTTTACGATGCTTTTCATGGTGATGACATCAGAAAGTTCATACCTGGTGTCTATGATTTTTTTTTTTGACACGTGTTTTATAGATATAGAAAGAAAGCCATGAATATACATAATGCGGGTCTATGTGCTAGCCCCTGCTTGTCTCTCACATTTTAGTCAGGGAGACTACACTTACCAGTAAAGCAAAGATTTGACTATGTATGTTCAGAGTAAGATGGCTCAGAACTTGAATCTTACGGTATGTTTTCTTCCCAGAAGTGTTAAATAAAGATGCAGATTTGGATACAGCATCATATAATTGGAGACAATTAATTTAATTTAAATGGGCCAAATCCAGCTCTTTGCTTCACCAGTGTAAATCCAGAAGCAGTCCATTGACTTTAATACAGTTGTTCCATATTTACACTGGTGTAACTAAGAGCTGAATTTAGCCCAATATTTGCATATTTTCTGTGACACACATCAGTATATTTCATCTCAGTTACCAGTGACCAGCCACTATGTATTAAAGGTAGGAGAAATTCTACTTGGAATTTCATGTGATTTGAAAATAAAATATACAAGACTTATATCTGAGTGAGCATATATGTGTGGTAAAGAGATAAAGAGTGCCTTTTAGTTACGTGAAAATGAATACACACTCTGCATTAAATTCCAAAGAAGTCAGCATTACTCAATGAAGCTTGGTCAGCTTTCACCATCTTTAGATATTTTACCATCTGCCTTATTTTCTTCCATGCCCAATGTAGGGAAACAAAAGCTAATTATGCTGTTTGGTTTATTTTTCATGTTAGGATAATAATTCTCCCGACTCAGAGATCACAATTCA